ACGTGGCATGGACTCAACAAGTCGTTGGAAGTCTTCTGCAGGAATATTGAGCCATGCTGTCTCGATAGACGTCCATAATTGTGAAAGCGTTGATGGTGCAGGATTTTGGGCACGAACAGACCTCTCGATGATGTCCTATAAATGCTCGATGGGATTCATGTCGGGCGATCTAGGTGGCCAGATCATTCGTTGGAATTGTCCAGAATGTTCTTCAAACCAATCGCGAACAGTTGTGGCCGGTGACATGGCGCATTGTCATCCATAAAAATCCCATCGTTGTTTGGGTACATAAAGTCCATGAATGGCTGCAAGTGATCTCCAAGTAGCTGAACATAAGCATTTCCAGTCAATGTTCGGTCCAGTTGCACCAGAGGACCAAGTCCATACCATGAAAAAACAGCCCACACCATTACGGAGCCACCACCAGCTTGAACAGTGCTTTGCTGACAGTTTGGGTCCATGGCTTCGTGGGGTCTGCGTCACACTCGAACCCTACCATCAGCTCTTACCAACTGAAATCGTAACTCATCGGACCAGGCCACGGTTTTCCATTCATCTAGGTACCAACCGATATGCTCACGTGCCCACGAGAGTCGCTGCAAGCGATGTCGTTCTGTCAGTAAAGGCACTCGATTCGGTCTTCTGCTGGAATAGCCCAAGAAAGCCAAATTTCTCCGCACAGTTCTAACAGATAAGTCCCTTGTACGTCCCACATTGATTTCTGCGGTTATTTGACGCAGTGTTGCTTGTCTGTTAGAATTTACGACTCTTTGCAGACGTCGCCGGTCTCGGTCGTTAAGTGCAGGCGGTCGACCACTGCGCTGTCCATGGTGGGATGTTATGCCTGAAATTTCATACTCGGCACACTCTTGACACAGTGGATCTGGGAATGTTGAATTCCCCTAACGATTTCCGAAATGGCATGACCCATGCGTCTAGCTCCAACTAACATTTCGCGTTCAAAGTCTGTTAATTCCCGTCGTGCGGTCATCATCAGGTCAAAACCTCTTCACATGAATAACTTGAACAGAAATGAAAGCTCTGGCGAAAGCACTGCGCATTTATACCTGTTCTACGCGATGCTACTGCCATCTGAAAATTTGCATATTGCTATCCCATGACTTTTGTCACTTCAGTGTATAACTAACTAAACCACCATTAAAAATTTTTAAATTTGTGTTTCATAGAAAATTTGAAAATAAATTTATTTTGTAAGTATTAAAACCACATTATTATTCTCGTATGTATACATATGTTTTTTTAAAGTTAAATTAACTCATAAAACATATTCATAAATTGTTAATATATTTGAACGGGAACTAAATAATTTGATAGATTTAGAAATTTAAAAACATCGCCAAAACTGCAAAGAAAAATAACATTTATTTCAGTTTCCTAAATTATATTATTAACATTTCATTTTCCAATTTCCATTTCCTATATATTTCCTATTCAGTTTCTTATAATTATTTCAGTTTAAATCTAAATTATAAATCTCAAATAGGTTGATATTTATCATTAATTTGAATTATAATTTAAATTGTGTTTACTGTAATCTTCTAACTTGGAATACACTCATGAAACAAAACAGATTTGGAATAAATAACGTCTTCCAACTTCCCAAGCAGAAACAGTTAGTGTTTAAACCATTGAAAATCAATCGTTCCGTCAAGACTTTTTCGAATTTGTAATTAATAGTTCTCATTACTCGCGTTTTGTTTCGTACCAATCAAGAACAGCTGTTGATGACATTCCAAAATTTAAGCTCGCTTTGAAGTTATAGCAATTCTGGCTCAAAAGGAAAATACATAGGAGTTTGCATAGAAATGTCATTATATTTTTCCTATACATAAATTTGCATGCACCTCCAAATTAGAGTAATCAAACAATGTTTATCAAAAATAGAAAGAAGGAATCTTAAAAACTAACTGTAACTGTAACTATTAACTGCATGAAACAATGATATGCAAATACATGTATCAAAATAAAGACGTATATAATGCAGAAGCAGATCTGAACAGAAATCATAAATAAATATATACAAATACATAATGGTTTTATCTGGAGGTAGGTAATCGTTACATACACCTCTTAAAGAAACAGTTGCAATATCCTGAAAATAAACGGGGGAGAATTTTTTTCTGTAGCTGATACTTTCCAGTTATCGATCCAAGTGAAAACAATTCCAGCTAACCAATTAACAATAATAATATATGATATAGATATATATATATATATTTGAAATTGTTAAACGGAGGTGGACCCCGCATCGACGCATCTGTCCTTTAGACCCTTTCCCATGGCTAAAAGAAAAGTCCAAAGCCATACACAAATAATAAAAGAATATCAAAATAACAAATGTTACAGGATTTGTGTGCTTCATCGATTCGCGACATATGTACAGAGTTTCTTCAAAACGAAATATATATACGAGGACCACCTTTGGCGCTAACACAGCTTCGCCGCCTTGCATGGATGCTACAAGTCCTTAGGTAGGTGGCATGGAGACAGATTGTCAGATGTTTAAGCAACAGTGACAAATCCGAGATATTAATTGGTGGTCTTTGAACCTGCTGCCGCCCCAGGACATCCAAACGTGTCATCGGATTGATATCCGGTGACGTTAGGCGGCCGGACCTTAATCGAATTCAGCATCATGTTCCTGGAAACGAACACACGATTTTGGTCTGTGACAACTAGCTTATCATGGAAGATTCAATTGCTAAGATTTGAAGAACATCTGAACAGTGCAACTGGTCCGCAATGATATTCAGATACAGTCCCAGCATTCATGGTCTGCCCTACCACAAACACGTGTCCCAGAGACGCTGTATTTTCAAGAGAACGTCCCCCTCATAATACCGCCACTACCGGCCTGTTTAATCCGTACATTGAGGGAGCAACAGCTTCGCCTTGGCCTGCGTATTCCACGGATATGTCGGCCGATGAATGAACATGTGGGATTTCGTTGGTCAGGCGTCTCGCCCACTGATCCTCGTCCTGTGCTTTTTCCAGACGCACAGGCGCATACAAACAATATGGAATGCTCTTCCAAAGGCATACATTCAAAATTTGTTTGACGTAGCCACGTCGTATCCAGCAGTTCCGCTGAACAGAGTGCTACCGATACTATTTATCTCTTGTTATTGTTTGCTTTTGCTTTGAGCCATTTAATCATTTATTTGTACCACTACCACCAATTGCGTATTAAATTTCGACGACCTATGACGATTCTTTGATGGTGTTGCAGTTTTTCAACAAACATGAGTTTATAATCGTTTTTAAAATCATATATATTTTTTATAAAAGAAAAATAATTTTGTTATTAAGATCGCGTTTTAATCTTCGATTTCATGCATAGAATGCTTACTTCGAGCCTTCGAAGTCATTAAATTTTAAATCAAAGTTTTTAGATTATCGGCAATCTTTCAGAACACAGAATTAGGTTTGAAAGATATTCTCAGATTCCAGCGCTATTACAATATGAAACTTACCTTAGCATCACGTATCCAAGCGAGTTCATTTAAAAATGTAGTGGTTATAAGTTTTTTTAGTGATATATATATATATTTCAAATATAAAAATCACGAATTATTAAAATATTACCAAGATTTAACTTTTTGATATAAAACAAATTTATTTGTATTTCTAAAAATGTAGTAAGAGTTAAAAAATATTTTCACACTGGTTTTATGCTTAAAGTATTACTGACTTTAAATATCGGAATAAATTTTAAAGGGATTACTTTTCAATTTAAAATCTACATTAGTCATATTTCAAACTTTTTGCTTTCCTTTTGTATTTTAGCACTATTTACAAGGTATTTGTAAACTGCCTTTTGACAAAGACAAAATGAAAGTCTGACAGCAATTATCTAGACTAATAAAATGAGGTCGTATTCAGGCAAATCAGTGTCAGAAAAGAAAATGACTTATTTGAAACTCACCCAAGAATTACAAAAGTCACTTCTAACATGCTATCATGTTTGACATAATTAATAAAACATCTGCAGAAGACCACTCTCAAGCATTTACAATATACGAATTTTCAGTGAATAAACAGTATAGACAAATTCAGGTGATGGTTTATTTGAGTTTGGGGAGAAAGCCAATCAAAGCAAAAGCCTAATGCTTTTGGAAGATGCAGATCGTCTAAATAAATTTTCCCCGTGGCACGTAAAATCATTGATGTGCGATAGCGTCATCACATAAAGAAACACAGCCATATTGCATTTACAGAGTACGGACTGCTAGTGAAAAGATGTATTATCGTCCGCCACAGCTGATTTATTTAGCAAACTTAGTAGCAATCCAGTCAATGCAAATGTATTTTTCTATTTCTGCCTTTTTCATTTTGTTTTTTTTTTAAAGAATTCCTCCTCAATACTTTAGATTATTACTATGATACATGATTTTACTTTATAAATAAGCGAAGATCAAACCTTAAAAATTATCCAGTAAAAAAGAGACATTTCTGACATATTATCAATCGTGTTTACTATTCGTCTTGATCATCCATGCTTATACTCGTGCTAATCATTCATGTAACATTGGTGTTGACTTAATATCATAGGCCTAAACCACAAAATATTTATTGAATTTCCATGAAACGAAGCAACAGCAAATGGAGTTGCAGCTTATTGACATTTTACACAAAGCAACAGTCAAAGCATTTTTTTAAAGGCATCCTCCTCAATGGTTCCTATTATTGACGTGGCACATTAACCATTGATGTTGAGACACCTGTAGGTTCAGCAGAAGATTAAACTAAAAACCCTGTCCAACAATCAAAAATAGTATACTTTAAAAACTAACAGCTCATGTCAGAAAAAGTAGCACATTTCTAGAATATCGTCAATTATTTGCCGTACACGAATTTTCAATGAAAAGAAGCAATGATTGGTTCATCAAGAAGTAGTAGAAAGCAAGTAATGTTTCACAGAAGTTAATATTGAATAATAATGATTTAGTGAGGTCTTCGGACTGGTGCTCGGCACGACCACGAAGGCCAATCCAAAGACCTCACTAAATCATTCAATCGGTAGTAGTGACGGGCGGTGTGGACAAAGGGCAGGGACGTAATCAACACGAGCTTATGACTGGCGCTTACAGGGAATTCCTCGTTAAAGGGGAACAATTGCAAGCCCCTATCCCAAGCACGAAGGAGGTTTAACGGGTTACCCAGTCCTGACGGACAGGGAGAGAACACGCTGATTCCTTCAATGTAGCGCGCGTGCGGCCCCGGACATCTAAGGGCATCCCAGACCTGTTATTGCTCTGTCTCGTGCGGCTAAACGCCGCCTGTCCCTCTAAGAAGAACGTCCGACGCAAGAGGATCTGGACGTCTATTTAGTAGGCTAGAGTCTCGTTCGTTATCGGAATTAACCAGACAAGTCGCCCCACCAACTAAGAACGGCCATGCACCACCACCCACAGAATCAAGAAAGAGCTCTTAATCTGTCAATCCTTCCTGTGTCCGGGCCGGGTAAGTTTTCCCGTGTTGAGTCAAATTAAGCCGCAGGCTCCATTTCTGGTGGTGCCCTTCCGTCAATTCCTTTAAGTTTCAGCTTTGCAACCATACTTCCCCCGGAACCCACAAGCTTTGGTTTCCCGGAAGCTGCCCGGCGTGTCATTTGAGGAACACAGCCGGATCGCTGGCTGGCATCGTTTATGGTTAGAACTAGGGCGGTATCTGATCGCCTTCGAACCTCTAACTTTCGTTCTTGATTAATGGAAACATTCTTGGCAAATGCTTTCGCAGTAGTTCGTCTTGCGACGGTCCAAGAATTTCACCTCTAGCGTCGCAATACGAATGCCCCCGTCTGTCCCTCTTAATCATTACCTCGTGTTCCGAAAACCAACAAAATAGAACCGAGGTCATATTCCATTATTCCATGCACCATTATTCAGGCGTCGCGCCTGCTTTGAACACTCTAATTTTTTCAAAGTAAACTTGCCGGTCACCCGAGACAACCGGTGAAGATCATAAGGGGGAAACCGGCGATAACGCCGAGCACAGACAGTGACCACCGGTAGGCGGACCGCCCGGCTCGAGCTGAGATCCAACTACGAGCTTTTTAACCGCAACAACTTTAGTATACGCTATTGGAGCTGGAATTACCACGGCTGCTGGCACCAGACTTGCCCCACAATAGATCCTCGTTAAAAGATTTAACGAGGATCCATTGGAGGGCAACGTTGCTTGTGGTACATATTGTGTGTTTTACATTATTACCAAAACACAGGAATTCTTTAGTATATGAAATATTTGTGAACTTTGTAGAAGATTTCGGTACGAAAATCTTACTGCACTGTACAGTACAGACGCGACTTCAAAACTTTTCGAGAAAGTTCACCAGTCTTTTATTTGCAGGTATAAATTGTGTAACATCACAATTAGATGTCAATTTGAGCTTCTACTTTCACTCTTCATTTGATTTGTACATGTTATGATTTCATAAATTTTTATTTATTTCTTTGATGAATATTAATTTACCTCTTCTGACACACTTCTTAACAACATAAGCTATTCTGCATGGCATCAGCATAATTAATTAGTTACTTTGTAAAACTTTTTGTTACATTAGCTGGTATGACACAGTATTTTCATTGGATCTAACAAGTTTAGTTTATTTTTACTACTGTGCATCACTTTGCATTGTAATAAATATGCATTCACATAAACCCTCACATAATTCACGCTACACGAGTTTGAAAAGCAATAGAAATAAATATCGCTTGATTGTACTCCCAAAAGAGTATCTAACCGGAGCTTTTGTTCATTTCGTACAAATCCTTAGTTTTGATTGATCAAATTTGTTAATTAGAAGTTAGTCCCTATAGTTTTTTTTATTTATTCTAGTTGCTGCTGCATTTTTTCATAACTATGCAATCTATCCAATAACATTCGGACATCCTGTATTTAAAGTTTAATAAAATATAATTTAGAATTAAGCTTCTCGTTGTTTGTTTACACCGGTACTATGTTATTTATACGCAGGAAGCTCTAGGAGGAACTATTAATGAAGAACTTCTGAACAAGGTTTGCTTAAAAGCAGTTGAGGAAGAAATAACCCAAAGGCAAAAGAATTTTCGACGAGCGTTTGCAACATCTAGCAGTTAACGTCAAGCACCTCCAGATGATCATGAAAGAAGTTGTTTATCCTCAAGCCTCTGGTGTTACTAAGTAATTAAACATGTTTATTAAAATTATTAATTAAGAATTACAACATAAGAAATTCGATGCAAGTCAGTTACATTGGTTCCACGAGCCATAAGCATGGGTGGCAAATGGATCAATGAGCATGGGTGAGAAATGGTCAATGAGCATGGTTGAAAAATGGGTAAATGAGCATGTGTGGCAAATGGATCAGTGAACATGGCTAACAAATGGATCAATGAACATGGATGATAAATGGTTCATTGAGCATGGGTGACAAACGGGTTAATGAGCATGGGTGACGAATGGATCAATGCATGGCTGACAAATTGATCAATGAGTATGGATGATAAATGGGTCAATGAGCAAAGGTTGGAAATGGATCAATGTACATGGCTAACAAATGGATCAATGTACATGGCTAACAAATGGATCAATGAGCAAGGATGACAAATAGATCAATGCATGGCTGATAAATAGATCAATGAGCATGCATGAATAAAGCCATGTTTTTTCGTTGTAAATGTATAATTTCTGCATCATCTATTTAGTCACAATGTACGTAATCTAGTGAGTGTTTCTATTTAGGTGTTGTTATCATTTCTCATTTGAATACATGCAAAAAAAAATTATAATATTATTTATATATGGGATTACAAATAGAAATAAATTTGTTTTTGCCATATAAAAAATTCGTTCATAATTAAAAACAACAATAGCAGTCAGCATTTTAAAGTTTTGTAATTAAATTTTACCTGCCTTTTTCTTTATAATGTAATTTGTATCATTTAATGTGTATAGGAAAATACCCATGCATTATTATTGTGCTGTTATATTTTTGTTAATTGTGATTAATATAACTGAATTATGTATTAATACATAATTCGGAAGTAAAGGGGCATGACCTTCATTTTTAAGGGCAAAAGAGGTATTCGAAAAATTACGAGAGAAGTAGAAGAAAAATTAAGAAAGAAAAATATATATAAAAAACTTTTCCCATGACACTGTATTTACCTATCCTACCATTTAAACAGGAATGTAAATCATTGTAGAAGTTCAACTGAAAATCCAAAGAAAACCTCTTTTTTTATTAATTATTAAAATGATCGATTATAATTACATCAATTCAAGGTTTCATATGATTCTTACTAAAATGAATGTGCCCGCATCATCATCGTCAAATGGTTTTATTTGATTATTTGATGCATAATCTTTTACTTTTTTTAACTGTTTCATATGAGGACTCTAAAAATAAACAATGAAAAGCACATTGATCCAAGTTCAAAGCCCAATAAACAAAGCCGAACAGAGAGATATGCCTGTTTATTTTTAAGATAGACAGAATTTTCTGTAAACAGAAAATCCTTCAGAGGAGCCACCAAATACCATCCCTGGAAAATGTTCGCTCAAATTGTAGTCCTAAAACTTAGGTACAGTCTATCATTATATTATAGTGGTTAAAGGTGAGTTGGTATTTATTTGGCATCCTATTAGCGAATGACTTAAATTCAAGTGCCCAGTATTCGAAAACAACGGCAACCTTTCAGAGTGATTGTTGCTTTTATATGAAGCTCCTCAGTAAAGCTAATAGTGATATCTACATAGTAAAGTAGTAGTTTAATATTTGTTAAAAACTTTTTATACCGTCTTTTAGCGCCATATTAGCGTTTGCTTTAAATGCAATTATTGCAATTGGTGAATATTCATTGCATGAAATTTTAAATCAATTTGAACAATATTGTTATTAAATTAAGAATGTTTTTATCTTTTAAAGAAACAAATAATATATTTTACAAAATTATGCATATATGTTTACAGGTTTAACAACATATGTATGATTTTTTTTCATATATATAAATTAAAAATATTTGAAATGCATTTTATTTTTAACCGATATCGTTGTTCAGAAATTCCATATTAATAACAGTTTATTAGAACATTAATAATCCAACATCAGCATATTTCATAATTTCAAACAATGGTAAATAAGGAAATGCAACACATATAATTCTTTTATTTTGTTATATAATTTATTACTGACAAAATTAATTGATTATAACCATAATCAATTTTTTAAAAGCTAAAAATCAATTTTGAAGCTAAAATCAATTCGAAAATAAAAATCTATAAATACAAGATTTACATTTGCACAATATCAAGTCAATTTTGAAGTTATTTAAATGACAGTTTTGACATTATTCTACAATATTAATTAGTGCAAAAAATCGCACAATGCTACACAATTTTTGTTGCTTATTATTGAATAGTAAAAATACTTAAAAAAAATTATATTACTAGTAATACTTTTATAGTTAATACGTAAGAATGAATTATATTATATAATACTAGTAATACTATATTACTAGTTAATAGTTAATACGTAAGAATGAATTATATTACTAGTAATACTTTTATAGTTAATACGTAAGAATGAATTATATTACTAGTAATACTTTTATTTTATAAGAATGAATTATATTACTTAATACTTTTATAGTTAATACGTAAGAATGAATTATATTACTAGTAATACTTTTATTTTATAAGAATGAATTATATTAATAGTAATACTTTTATAGTTAATACGTAAAAAATAAATTATATTTCTTACAATTATATTTATAAATATAATTATATTTACGTATTATGGATATAAAATAATAACTAGTAATACTTTTATAGTTAATACGTAATGAATTATATTACTAGTAATACTTTTATAGTTAATACGTAAGTGAATTATATTACTAAAAAAGAGAGAAACATATTTTAGTAATAACTTACCCTTCATATTACTAGTAATACTTTTATAGTTAATACGTAAGAAGGAATTATATTATTCAAATAAGAATCCCAGTTTCATTATTTTCTTAGATTTAAAAATAAATTACTTTTACTTAATACGTAAGAATGAATTATATTACTAGTAATACTTTTATAGTTAATACAAGTAAACATAGCAAAGCATCTATATTACTAGTAATACGAAATTACAGTTTCTAATTATATTTGACGGATAGTTAATACGTAGAATGAATTATATTACTAGTAAACTTTTTTATAGTTAAGATTTAAAAATAAATTATATTACTATTATAGTTAATACATCTTCTTATTTCGAAAAATGATAATTTAATACTTTTTAGAAACGTAAGAATGAATCATATTACTAGTAATACTTTTTATGCTCGGTTAAGATTTAAAAATAAATTATATTACTAGTAATACAGTTAATACGTAAGAATGAATTATATATTACTAGTAATACTTTTATAGTTTGCTTTTAGTTAATACGTAAGAATGAATTATATTACTAGTAATACTTTTATAGTTAAGACTTAAAAAATAAATTATCTAGTAATACTTTTATAGTTAATACGTATGAAGAATTATACCTAGTAATACTTTTATAGTTAAGACTTAAAAAATAAATTATATTACTAGTAATACTTTTATAGTTAATACGTAAGAATGAATTATATTACTAGTAATACCCTGTTAATACTTTTATAGTTAAGTAAAGAATGATACTTTTATAGATAATATGAATGAATTATATTACTAGTAATACTTTTATAGTTAAGCTGTATTATATTTTTAACTAATTTTGACTTTTAGTCTCTAACGATTAAATAATGACTTATGAATGAGCTGATAATACTTTTGCAAAGTTCATCGATGAAGGTTGTTATATTTAAAATTTATGCATAATTAAACGGTAGTCATAATAGGAAGAACGTAAATTGTTTCTTATGCATTTATTTGCTTAAAATATCACTTTGAAAAAGATAATTTTTTTCGTTGCAATATTTTTTAACGTTTTAGCAAACTGCATTGTGTATTATTTATGAATAACACCTTGAGCTGAAAAAAAAGTTCAAGAAATAAATAAATAGTCTAATTATATGCATTAAAAATATCACTTTGAAGCTTTTTTGATTAACGTTTTAGCAAATTATAGTGTTTTATATATAGAAAAAAAATAGAAATATAGTTTATATATATGAAGTTTTTGATTAGATTAAATTAT